ATATAAATAAGTATTGTGTGATGTTCGGGTAAAAGTGTTGTTACCATCATCAGACAAAAAGTGCTGATGGTGTTATGGGCTACTAACCAAAATGTGTTATTTTTGAGCCCAAAAAAGAATGTTCCTGAAAAAATTCCCACGCCGGGAATCGAACCCGGTCCTTCTGGGTGAAAGCCAGATATCCAAGCCACCAGACCATGTGGGAGTGAAATGAGTAAAAGAGAATATGGTTTTACAGGCTACTAACCAAAGATTTTTGAGCCTAAAAATGAGTAAAATATCACAGCATGTCTTTAGATAGGTAGTTATCAGTTACCAGATAGCAGATAAGAAGAAAATAAGTTTTCTAAGAACCCTAAAATACTATTCTTAGAATTAGAAGTGGAAAACCCCCTCTTTTTTAAATATAATTTAAAGCATATCTGTAAATATCATTGGTATTTCCTCTTTCTTCTATTCTGTTAATTGTAGCAAATTTCTTTTGAATGAAAATTCTTCAAATTTTTTTTCTCTAAATTTCCTTATAATCTAGTATCTTTGTTTCTTTTATATTGAAATTGTTGTTGCCCTGTGATTTTTCTATGTTCTACAATTGCAGAATTCTCAATTTATCCTATTTTAGAGATATTCATGGTTTTCGATCCTTTCTTTTAAAGTTCTGGATGTTTGTCCTACATACATATAGCATTAGTTACACTTTTCTCTTCCACTTCAGAAATTAAACCTGCTCTATTTGGTAATTGGGTGTTCTTGTCTTTGTTGATGTATTGAGAAATAGGGTTATATGATTTCCATGCAATTTGTCATACTTTTTGAATTATTTGAAAATAGAGCAATCCACACACACACACACACATAAGTATAGATCTTTAATTAAAAAGTCTTCAGCCAAATATTGGTAAATAAATTATTTTTGGAACCATATGCCTTTTCTATTAAAAATTAATACTTTTTAAACATAGTAGCAGATTTCTTGCAATTTTTTGGTTTATAAATGGTAACGTGATGAATTTCTGGTTTTTGCACTTTAGATTTTGAATCAAAGTAATATACTAATATTTTTGTTTTATGTCTTCCATTTTATTCTATCTATCTTTGATGGGAAAATCTTCATTGATTAGTTCTTTCTTTGATGTTAATTTTGTACCCCTAATGAGTGTTCTATATATATATGAGGTTTTACTAATCCTACTTTGTGGCTGAAATGGTGCTGTGAGCTATAGTTCCAATGAGTTCCTGTATATTTATATATAGAGAGGTTGTAGTAATGTTATTATTGTATGATAAGTTCATGTCCAGGAAATTTATTGATTTGTTGTTATCTACTTCCATAGAGTAATTGATCCTGCCCAGAAGTCCTCCTCAACGTAGCAGGCGGGAGAAGCAGTACAAGTAAGGGACTGCCCTGTAGTACGGTGTCGTTAGCCCTGAGATGCTACGGTAACCATGAGCTCTGAAATGTGGCTGACTAACGGGGCAATGGCACCCCCCCCCCCTTTCCATGGAGCAACAAAATCTGGACAAGACACCACCCAGAGTAATTGATATCAGGACATAGATTGTTGAAAGTATCCAAAATTCTTTTCTCACTTCCCTGATTAATAAATAAAATGGAGCCATCCACATAACTTTTGAAACAATAAAACATAATTTTAAATTGAATTTAGAGCTTTGATTTCTATAGCTTCTTTTGGTGATCTCATTGTTGCACCCTTCATTTGGAGAGATATATTTGATCATCATAAATATGTTTTCAAATAAAAGTTTCCAATAAACAATGTTCTATTTCTGTATCTTTTATCACATGGTTCAATGCATTAATAAAAGTGGGTATAGGGATAGAAATAAACATGGATTCAGAATCTAATGCTTTGATTTCCATATCACAATAATATCAATATTTATCATAATAAATTCAAATCTCAAGTAGACAGTATGGATAGTCTAAAGAGACAAAGGCCGCCTCTCCCGTCAAAATAGATGTCAAAACCAGACACACCATCTATTGACTGTCACCACAAACTAGCGGCCTTGGGTCGGTGACAAAGCCACAACACCAGCTTTGCCAAACTGAAAAGCGTCCACCTAGAGACCATGGTTTCGAGCTAATGGCCCCCGTCAGTCTAGGGCGGACTTTAATTCCATGAGATCCACACGGGATCTAATGGAATTTGGACAATCTGCCAAAGAGGTGTTTGGCAAAGTGGCTGGGCCAATTCTATGGCTAAAATATAGATGAAAATTTTGCCGGGAGGATATTGATCTAAAGAGGTAAAGGCCGCCTCTCCCGTCAAAACCAGACGCCATCTATTGACCGTCGCCGCAAGTATGGATAGTGACCTTTTAAAAAATATATATATATAGATTGAAATAGAAACAAATTACATTGCTCAAAAAAATTCAAAAGGGCATTTAAAAAAATAGAAGCTAAAGAAAGATGACATGCTCAAATATAAATAATTAAGAAATACAAAGAAATTAATTTTATTAATACAAGGAAATAAGGCCTAACCCAAATAAATTAATACTGTGTGACTTTTCGCTAATGATCAGACAAAAGAATAAAACAATAAATTTATTCTTTTGTCTGATGGTGGTAACAATGCTGCTATCAAAACATCACACACTATTAATTTATTTGGATTAGGTCTTATTTTCTTGTATCTATAATCCAAATTGTGATTTTTCATAATTTTATTATTAAAAAACTCTTCCCTGAAAAAAAAATAAAGCACTCAACTCTGAATTGAACCAAAAAATAACATAATGAATTTAACAAAGTGAAGGTATCCCAAATGAATTTCAAGACTCCTTAGCAAAGATTATAAATGCTTTATTGCAATGAGATATGTACTGAGGTAGTTTGGATGACTTATCCACATGGTACAGGCCATGATAATCATGGTGGGTAGAAGTTGGCAACTACTTTTACTGTAAGTGCACCGCATGCCTATACATGTGAAAAGCAGTTCGACTTTTGCACTTACAAATGTGTCAGAGTCCTGTTTGGTTACTTTCACTCGCTTGTGGGGTTGGCCAATGGAGAATTTTCCTTTTTTTTATTAGAAAAAAGTGCCTGGCCAATGCGGGATTCAATCCCAGGGCGTAGCGGTCAAAAACCAACAGTTTAGACCATCCTTCCACAGACCCCCACACATATTATCATAGGAAATGTATCACTAAATAATATATGTAAAATATATACAAGAAATGCTGTTTATTTAAATATACCCCATTCTTATATTAATTTTACATATTTGTGGGGTGCTTTTATTTCCTATGATATATCCAAACTACCTCAGCACAGACCTTGCTGCCATGATAGACTATCAGATGAGAGAGTGGGATGCTCTCTAAGGCACTGGAAAGGTTCACCTCTGATGAGCAAGATGTCCACAAATATTTTTCTATCGGAATAATGAGCAGTAGAAAATTGTTGTACAGTAGAACAACCTTCCTGTAATGGACACCTAATTGCAGAACCAAACTGTCTTTTAAGGAGAGGTATCCTCTTACAATAGTTGCTAAATTGTGAAAATGGTAATTTTGCAAATGAAAACTGTCCTATGTAAAGACATGTCCGGTAAAGGGAGGTTCTACTGTAATTGTAAAGTAGAAATAACTTCAAATTTTGCCAAACAAGAAAAAAAAGTTTAAATACAGTTTCTTACCAAAGCCGTGATTTTCCAATATCAACATTTTTTGACCTGCTTTGTACACAACATGTTTTATCTACAGGATGAGCAAGAAAGAAAAAATGTATCAATTGAAATATGGGGTGTTCCCAAGACATGATTAGAGAATTTAGTGAACTTTTAGAGACAAGAAATGTGACAAAATCACACGAAAAATGGAATTCAATTTTCTTTATTTTGATCAAAATTACTTCTCAATGATAAAACCATACATGAAGAGTAAAGAAATATGCATGAAAATTGATTTAATTATAAAATATAATTTAAAAAAAAAAAGGTAAGAATTAAATTTTGAAGAGAGAAATGTTAGAAATTGGAGGATAAAACAGCAAAAAACTTTTAATGAAAAAAAAAAAAAACTGAAGTTAATTATAGTGTGTAAATGGATGTAGTAATGAGGAAGAGGGAAAATGTTATTGACAAACAACAACAAAATGTGTAATGAAAGGGGAGACTGAACTGTACAGATGACTATACAGGCTGTAGTTAGTTGTCACTTTTCCAGATGCGGATGGTTTTGTCCAGTTCCAGGGCGGCAGAGGCAATGATGTTCTCTGTGGGATGGCAGGCGGTACAGACCACAACGTCCTGGTGGCCCACCAGCTTCTGAACCACTTCCTTGGTCTGTAGGTTCCAGATGTACACGAGGTTGTCCTCCGAGCCCGACACAATCCACTGGGAGCAACAACACCCACCACTTTGTAGCACTACCCTTTTACTACAGTAGAACCATCCATATATAGAGGGTGCACTTCAATTACCAATCTTTGGTGACACATCTCTAATATAATAACTCCTTTTGAGAGATTTTGCTAAACTACCAACTTTACATATACTCTGGCTCATTCAATCAAAAACCAGATGGAGCTCTTAGTTTTGACTGATAGCTCATCTAGGATAAGATGACCAAGGGCAGATGGGACTCATGCTAGCCTAGATTGGCAACTTATATCTAAAAGAGAGAACTTACCATAGATGGGAAGTTGGACAACACTCCTGCTGAGCTGTGTATCAGACAGTACCTGAACCATGATATATACAAGGGGACCTTGTTGTAACAGCAACTTGGTGTTATAACATCATAATTCTGAAGTCTCAAGTTTCAAGTAACTCCGCCTTTGTCGGTCCCAAGCCCGGATGAAAAAGGAGGAGGGGGAGCAGTAACAAGCTCACTAAAAAACCTGGGCTCAGCTGGCCCGGCTGATAGTACCCTGTAAGGGCTCCTAATCCAGGGATACAGGATGAGCAGCGTTTGTACTCCATGTTAGGAGCAGCTGCACATGGCGTCTGTTCCTCATGTCAGAAGCGGCCATTTCTTTTTGAGCTAAGTCGGCCTGCCACTGAGTAATGCTCCCAGTCTTAATAACAAAGGCAGATGCATTCTACTTCACCCAGTCATGATGGTTGTCAAACAGACACCATCAAGGGTCACAACTTGGTGCCCTAATATGTTTGAGTGGAGATAAGGAAGGAGAAGAAGTTTCAAGTCTTGATTACTTTTTGAGTTGAG